GTACGTCACAGAGAAGTAAGCCCAAACCCGACCTCTGACCTCTGACCCCTGCTTCCTCACCCTAAACCTGACCTCTGACCCCAGCCTCCTCAGCCTAAACCTGACCTCTGACCCCAGCCTCCTCACCCTAAACCTGACCTCTGACCCCAGTCTCCTGACCTCTGACCCCTGCCCCCCCTTTAGCTATCTGTGCTTCGAGAGCTCCAGCTCCAGGTCCGGCTCCTCCAAGAAGAACAAAGTCATCCGCCTGGTGGACATCACCGACATCCAGAAGGTGGTTCCCCGTTCCGGGGGGGGGGGGGGGGGGGGGGGTATCTATCCCTGCTGCTGTGTGACCTTTGACCCCTCTCTGTCCCTCAGTACAAAGTGCTGTCGGTGCTGCCTGGAAGCGGGATGGGCATCTCCATAGCAACGCCCTCCACTCAGAAGGTACACAGGCAAACCCGGTTACCCCGGTTACAGCTCTATAGGACACCAACAAGCAGGTTCAAACCAGTTTGGGGCCATTTTGGGTTTGTTCGGGTCAGTTTTGGACTAATTTAGGTCAGTTTGGGTAGGCTTTGGACCAGTTTTGGACTGGATTGGGTCAGTTTGGGTCGTTAGGACAGGTTGGCCAATTAAATACATGCTAAATAAACAGGGGAATCAACAAAAACAAACAAAAAAAACGTTTTCATTTGCAATTCATCGGTCCTCCATGTTATCTTTTGACCTGTTTTGGGTTGGTTTGGGTCAGTTCTGGTCAGTTTTGGACCAGTTTCTGTTAGTTTTGGGTTGGTTTGGGTTGATTTTGAGTCAGTTGTAGTCTGTTTTGGACCAGTTTGGGTCCCTTGTAGGTTGGATTGGGTTAGTTTGGGTTGTGCTCAGCTTCGTGGGGTAGGACGGGTTGGCAAATTAAGTTTTTATATCAAATTCATCCTAAATAAACTGGGAATCAACAAAAAAACGTTTTTGTTTGAAATCCATCGTCCTCCATGTTATCTTTTGGCCTATTTTGGACTGATTGGGGTCAGTTTGGGTAGGCTTTAGACCAGTTTAAGTCCGTTTTGGGTTGGTTTGGGTTAATTTGGGTCGTGTGCTCAGCTCTGTGGGGGAAGATGGACTGGCAAATGAAGTTTTTATATCAAATACATGCAAAATAAACAGGGAATCAACAAATCAATAAAAAAAAAATTTGAGCTCTGTGGGTTAGGACGGGTCGGTAAATTAAGTTTTTATATCAAATACCTGCAGAATAAACAGGAACTCAACTCAAACCCCCTGTGTCTCCCCCAGCCTTTGGTGTTTGGTGCCATGATCCACAGAGACGAGGCGTTTGAGACCATCTTCACGCAGTACATGAAGATGGCCACCAGCTCCAAACCGCCGCCCAGCGCCGAGCTCTAGGCCGCCCGCCGCCAGGACTCCGGGGGGG